TGGTTCCAGGGACCCAGAGAACACACTGTAAGCCAACCTAGGACAGTATCATATTAATACACACTTCACATTCCTGAGCACCACTTCTATCAAAGAGAGTGATTATGCTCCAGAATGGGAGAGGAGCACCAGTTAACAAAACCTCAGTGGTGACGTTTCCTCTGTAAGTGAGGGGAAACAGTAAGCGTGTTACAACTGGGCTTGATAATAGAACTGGAAATTACAGAATCCCAAAACAATAGTTTTGTACAGTTTCTTAGTATATTGTTACTTGAGTAAGTGGCCATAAGTCCCTTTGAGGAGGTACTGTGGGGATCATTTTTCTAAATATTTTTCTAAAGTCTTCAGGTCTTTTCTCCTGAAGACTCCAGTCAATGTTTCAGATCTGCAAAATGGCTCAGGTCCGGAAATTGCACAAGCATTTGAAATATTTTATTGGACCTGGTGCCCTCAGCCTCCTTTCTTGATTTCTTTTGATTATATGGAATTAGTAATACCCTTGCCGGTTACCCATTTAGGTTACCTAGTGAAGCTATGTTTTATTAACCATTTCCATGGTACCCTGTGGTTCAAGCCCCCCATTTACCACTCCAATCTTGCAGCTTATAGGGTACATTGTTGTAGACTGACAGTGAGTTACTGTAACTTCTGACAGTCAAGTGCCACTAGTTGGCCTCTATTGTTTTGGGATTCTGTCATTTTTAATTCTATTATCAAGCCCAGCTGTATGTTTCCCCTCACTTACAGAGGAAAAGTCGCCGCTGAGTTTATTTTAACTGGTGCTGGTTCTCCTCTCACATTCTGGAGCATAATTGATCACTTTGATAGATGTGCCTTCCAAATGATCCATAGATCGTGGTCAGCTGGTGGACTTTCTAACTTTACGGAGATGCCCATTCTAGCATGCCCACTTCCACTGCTACTGAAGGTATTCCGTTTCCACTTTACTTACTATGGGCCAATGCTCTCTTCAGACTTCTAAATGCCATCCAAATTAGAATTAGAACCATCTAATTAGCATGTTAAGAATTAGCATATTAGCATCTTCTGATGTCCTCACCAGATTATTCGATTCTGTATTATGGGAGAATACCCCCATGTCAATCAAGTCTTCATTATCCAGCCTTCTGCTTCCTTCAACCACCCACCGAACTCCATAATCTAGCACCGTCAGAGTTCAGTTCCATGCGTTTCCAGGCTCCCACTGGTACCTGCTGGTGTCAATGTAAGAAACATTAAATCATGTGAAGAAATTTTGTGAATTTATTTGAGCCCAAATGTCAACAATTGCCAAGAAGCAAAATCTCAGTGGATTGAGATAATGCTCCGGAGAATGGCAGTTTTGCACCTTATTTTATACATCACAATCAAAAGAGGAGACATAAGTGGGTTACATAAAATCCATTGGTGATTGATTAGGGAGGAGGGAAAAGCAAAGTGGGGGACAGGGAAACCTTTGGGATTGGATAAAAAGTAAAATGTTAGACACATACATCTTTTACATAGGTGGGTACAGGATAGTTAACAATCAACATTAACTCAATAACATTGAGGGATTTCTGGTCTCTGCAGAGGGGTGCCTGTACTCTGAGGGATCCCCAAAAAGGAAAATTACTTTGACATTCCAAAAATACCTTATTATGGACACAAATGACAATAGACAGGCTCAGTTAAGGTAAGGATTGACCTTTGTCAGGAAATCTACTGGCCTAGGACATGACTACTTACCATAAACTACTTTTAGTTCAAAAGTTTTAATTTCAGACCCTCCTATGTGGTTATTTTTAGCCTCTGGGTTTGTAAGGTCGCCACACAAGCTTCCCCTGAGCTTGTCAGGCTTAGTGTGTGGCCCCTTTTCGTCCATACTGGATAAATCATGTAGCTCTTTTGAGATAGAATCCAGTTCTCTTCCAACCCCTGGCACCTCACGGGTCATGCTCTGCTGTGACTTGATGCTACTTCTAGGTCTCATGGCTAGGAGATGTGGAGCTAGATTCTGTGGTGGTCTGGGAGCATAATCTAGAGTGGTGGTTTCCAACCTTCCTAATGCCGTGACTCTTTAATACAGTTCCTTATGTTGTGGTGAACCCTAACCATAAAATTATTTTTGTTGCTACTTCATAACTATAATTTTGCTACTGTTATGTCTTAGGCGACCCCTGTGAAAGAGTCGTTCGACCCCCAAAGGGGTCCCAAACCACAGGTTGAGAACCGCCGATCTAAAGGCTGCTGCATTGTATTCAGGATAGGGAAAACGGGACCTTTTGACTCCTCCTCTAACAGGCAGGTACAGAATCTTCCTGTGGATCTAGAGGGTTTAAGGGGACCCGAGGCTTCAATATTTTCTACCCACATGGCCCCATTCCACGTCTCAGAGTCCCACTGCTATCCATCCAGAGCCTTGACTTTCTGTGATTGAAATTTCAACCTTCTCTGGAGATCTGCTACTGGCCCACATCCTCTGGTTTTATTTTTTTATCCTACACTGTAAAACATGAGTTGTTTTATATGCAGCCTAGGAGGACCTCTGGCTTACATTTTGCTTTTGATTTATAAAATTACCCTCAGCTTTTCAGTGTCTTTCTCCATTACTCACCAAGAGCCATCTGCTTCCATTGTCTTTATAATTAGTGCTCCCACTGAGCCTTCCAAAAGCCATGTTGAATATGTCGTATCAGCCTGTACAGTTCCCTTTTCTGGTGTTTCATCCATTTCAACTGGAGAAAGTTTAATAATGATCACTTGCATCAAAGTTCATTCTGTCTTCTAGTCTGATATTTTCTTTTCCATAAGCAAAATTCAAAATGAGTTGCAAGCCCCTACTTTAGTGTCTGGTGTTGCATAGTTAGTTTATTTATTAAATATGCAAACATTATATTTCTTTTAGGACCTATGTGATGATTTTCACTAAGTCTAATAATTTATTTTTAATATAGTACAAATAGAACAAGGCTAATTTTAATTGCTTATATATTGGAATTGGGTTCCGTCTATTGGAATCTGATTCGCAATAAAAAGTAGATTGCAGCTAAGCCATGGTTACCATTGATCTAAAATTGGTCTGGACAGGCCATTGATATGGTTGGGGTCTGATGCCTCTAGACCAGCAGTTATCAACCTGTGGGTCACGACCCCTTTGGGGGTCAAACAACCCTTTCACAAGGGTCGCCTAAGACCATCTCCAGGCAGTTCCGGCCACATGCAGATACGCCCACATACAAGAGGAACTGTATTAAAGGGTCGTTGCATTAGGAAGGTTGAGAACCACTGCTTTAGACCATAGCTTTTGCTCAAGCTTGTTGGAAGTAGACCCGAGGATTCTTGACAGAGTTTTCTCTGCATATAATGAAATAAGCTTTAGACACACATAGTTCTAGGTTAATTTTAGAATCCACTTTGTCAATGTTAGTTGAATCAATAATATTACTTACATGGAGAAGTTATTAACACACACACACACACACACACCACTTAAAATTTATTTGCTATGATACACAATAGATACCAGCAAAATTCTTATAATGCTGCCTTAACCTGTGGAACACAATGGAATCAGTGTTCACAGCGTCCCTTATCTATACTCACAGAAACCTCTGCCTTTCATTCTCCGCAATTTCTTTCAAGGCAACATAGCCACTATCGCAGAGGGAATGCCATTCTAGCTGGTTTGAGTCCTTGATGGTGAAGGTCAAGGGCTCCAAGTTTAATTGATTTTCTTCCAAAGAAAGAAAAGGCAAAAAAGATGGAGCCTTGTGGAAAATCCCTGGTGTTCCCATGCATGTCATTTGCCAGTGTGCAAAACAGCCAGGCTTCCGTCTTTTCACAGACACCCGTGCATGTTTCCTGTCTTCTGTGCACTTCTGGTATCTGGCCCCAAATCTAACACACCGTTGAATATACAAAGGGACCCATTGTAATTTTCGTCCTTTCTGTTCTTGCTTGAGCCCCGCTGATGTTGCCCCAGCCCAGCAGTCAGCTGCCAGACAAGGAGTGCCTGTCTTATCACCTTGCAATTTCCGGCTTTCCATTCTGCACTCCCATGACCCAACAAAAGGAATTCATTACAGGAGTTGCGTGCTTGGTTCTTATCAGAGAGAAAAAACAAATTTGGCTAGTTTTGATCACATAGATCTTTTACAAGGGCCACAGAAGTCAGTTCTTCCCTCACTATAATCATAAAAAAAACTACCCACAGTTGTTATTGTTCAGTTCATTTGGCCACCATAGAAGAGGTAGAAGAGTAATTGTGATTTGTGTTGTTTAATATCAAGGGCAGATTATGAAATTACTTGAAGAACTCAGTGTTTCCTTTTGTTCTTTGCTTCTTTATGCGCCATTTCTGTAGTCAGTGAATTCCTCGGTAAGTTCTGAATTTAAAGCAAGTAAAGCTGAGACGTGATTATTAACTTTCCTGGAGGGCAAGTTAAAAAAAAAAAAAGTTTACTAACGTCATGAAGTACAGTTGGCAACAGAGCTCTAATGCCTTGTAATGTGCAAAAGGAAATCCTAGCTTATTTCTTAAAAGGCATTTTTTAAAAGTATATATTTTTCTTTTTAGAATTTAGAGAGAGGAGGGGAGAGGGAGAGAGAGATAGAAACATTGATGAGCAAGAACATCTATTGGCTGCCTCCTGCATGCCCCCCATTGGGGTTTTGGGCCACAACCTGGCATGGGCCCTGACTGGGAATCGAACCGGTGACCTTTTGGTGCATGGGTCGATGTTCAACCACTGAGACATACCAGCCAGGCAGACCCATATATTCTTGATATATGCATTAATATATAGAAAAGTCACTTTATTCTTTTATCATATCATCAAGTTTTCAACTTTCTATTTAACAGTTGAATTATCACATTTTGCATCCAAGACTTTGCACAAAGCTGGTAAGAAGAGACATTCAAGCCTATTAGCTTTGTCCCTCCACCCCCAGTGTTTACTTATATAAATAAAAGTGAATGCATTTTGTATTACTTCCCCATGCATGCTACAAAGAAAGACTGAGCACATATTTTGCTCAGTGTTGCTAAACTGAGAAATAACCTGCCCATAACTGGTAAACAAATATTTTTTTCTACCCCCCCCAAATCTATTTAATATTTTGTGCTAGGTTAGAGGATGTATCAGATATTAAACTGATAAGAACAGATACTACACTTGATATTAGCCAAAGGCCAAGAATCAATAACAACAACATCAAATATTCTTAAAGTTAGAATCATAAACTTTGATAATCTTGAAAATTTAATTTGGGAAACTATCAAACTTCTTTGTGGCTGTAGGCAATGGATTAGCTCTCGGCTTAGGGACAACCATTTCTCTGTCGGGACCTTGCCTCTGGTTCAGGAGAGGGGTGGGGGGAGTTCTCCACGGTCATGGCTGTGCTGTGTGCCCCACTTGGTCTGTTGCGGTCAATTGGGTCAAGGTGAACACTTCATTTAAACAGTGGCCATCACATAATCCCAGGAATTTAGGAAATTGAACTGAGAGACACAGGTTGGGAGTTGTATTCATGGCAGTGCCCCTGAGGACTGTGAACTCTCATCGCTGACACCTGCTGTGAGGTTCGCTGCACCTGAGAGCCAGTTGCTGGGCTCTAGCTAAACCTCTGGGAGGTATGCCATTATCTTCCTCAAAGTAGGTTTGTTTGCTTTTTTAAAAGCTTGTTTTCCTTTATTAATTTTTAGACAGAGAGGAAGAAAGAGGGAGAGAAAGATAGAAACACTGATGAGAGAGAACAACAATTGACTGCCTCCTGCATGCCCCATGCTGGGGATTGGACCCACAACCTGGGCATGTGCCCTGACCGGGAATTGAACTGTGACCTCCTGGTGCATGGGTCAATGCTTAATCACTGAGCCCCACCAGCTGGGCTGTTCGTTTATTTACTCTAGTACCAGTTGGTGTCTGTTCTTGCAACTCAGTGAAACTCAACTAATATATTAAAGTCTATTTCTATCATGCATATACATTTTTCCAGTGTAAACATTAATGTCATTTTGCATATATCCTACCTCCTAACAAATCCTACTAACAAATGTATAACAAACACTTGTCTCTGAAAACTTGTACTCAAATTAGAATGTTTGCATTAATCGCAATGAAACAAAATGTCAAGGATATCCATACTAGAAAATCCACATTTAATACTGCAGTTACTGAAATAGTATTGTTGACAGCGTATGCCCTTAATCTAACCATACAGAAGGTATTCAGTTGAAATCTAATTAACTTAAATAAATTCAGTTATTATATTTTTGGAACAACTATATTCTTAGCTTATTTCTACTGTTAAGTATACTACATTGATTTTTTGATAATTCAATGTTTTAATGACAGCAGTGTAAAAGATAGTTGTTAAAGGTTACAGTGTAGTAAAAATCCGCTCCTCATTTTAAATATTGTTACATGTCTAACACAGAGCTTTTTGACAATATAGATTCTCTAAGAATATTCATAATTCTTTTTAAAATGTACAACCTCTTACCATTTTACAAACGAGGAGGCATAGCTTCCAAAGCAACCTTTAGATAATATCAAAATAGCATTTTACACACAAGGAATTCAGTGATTCCCTATCTCATTTACTACACTGTCAAAAAGCCACTTATCAAAAAATTCATCTTATTGTTGCTGGATAAAGTAGCAGCTATTTTTGTCCTTTGCTCCCTTGAGAGATTGTCAGCTTCTGATCTTGAAACACATCTTCCCAAATGTATATATTCAGTCTCATGCTATCATGGGTACTCCATAAATATTGTTGCATGAAAACTTATCTCTCTGGGAGGTTAATGAAGAACAGACACAGGCAAAAATCAGACTGTGCAGCCAGGGGAGAACAAGGAAGCTATAAAAACATTAGTGTGAGCAGAGGGAATAAAAGAGAAATAATCAGTAGTCAGTTTAAATAGAGTCCTTGGTTATCATTGAACAGCTGATAAAGTAGGTAGGAAGGAAAAGTTGACCTGCAATCTTATTTTCTCTCTGCAGATTATAGTTGTGATTCTTATAGAAATAAAATGTGTTTCTAGTTCATTCATAAAGAACATCAGTCCTCTAGGCCTTTATGAGATTAGAAGCAGTTCCATAAACTGTTTGAGTCTTCGGAAGTATGGCAATGGAGAATCACTCTCCTTCAAGTTTAATTAGAAATGTGTTTGATTCCTTCTTTTTGGTTTTGTTTGTTTGTCTTGACATAGATATTGAATGGATTAAACTTCAAATCCTGGTAATTCTACACATAAAATATAGCTCTTGGCTATACTTATCACATTTCACATAATTTCACTGTTTCTTGGAGTTTGCAGGTAAAACATTCTCTCTCTCTCTCTCTCTCTTTATTTTTTTCTTCCTTGTCGTTTACTGTTCTGATCTCTATTTTTTTTTTCTATATACCCGCTGACTAGCTAGGGAGAAAATAAGAAAGTATCCTGGGACAACAGAGCCTGTGTGTGTGTGTGTGTGTGTGTGTGTGTGTGTGTGTGTGTGTGTATTCCCCGCAAAGGCAATTTGCCCAGATGATTAAAAAAATGTGTGGAGAATTATTCATCCAGTCGGAACCTGCCAGTCAAATACTGGAGCTGGAGCTGGGCAATGCTCCTAGACAAAGAAGTTTCCATGGGTTGGAGAGTTTTTGAAGCTCCGCCTTTTGTATCACACTCTTGGAGATGAACAATGTTCATTAAAATATTAATGGCTCTGAAAAACACCTCAGTATATGAGTTTAATTTATCCATTAAAATATATGAATATATAAAATATATATTTAACTCCCTAAAATCTAGTGTTTTATAAAATATATTTTGTGAAAATAAGGTTTTTATGAGTCATTCTGAGCTCTCTCTAGAAATCACATATTATTCTTTCATTATTGTAACCTCTTCTGAGTCACATCCATTTTAAATGTGGATGAACAGTATCAGTATTTTTAGCCAGGGAAAGTTATATAGACATATGGACATTAAATTTTGCATAAATTTCAAAAATTCGTATATTATTTCAGAGTGATACTTAAGATGCACCACTGGCACCAAGTTAAGGAAACCTGAACCCTTTGGTTTACCCACAACTTAGATTTTCTCTGTGGTGCTGCCACCATGAGCAATAGTCATCTATTGTTTACATTCGCAGAGTGTTAGAATACAACCTTTCAAATGCATTTCTTTAGTGGACAGCGTTCAAAGGCATATTAGAATTTTCTTACTCTGCTTATATTACCGATATTTGGACCCATACTATTGAGTCAGTCCAACAGTCTGTAAAACCATTTCTGGGCTGCACGACAGCTAAAAGCACAGAGAAGACACACTTCCTGTATATCTCTGAGGATGCTATACACATAGTTTTTCTATTATTTTCCTTTTTTCTCCATGGAAGTTAGGATGGCATAAGTAAACAAATCGATTTTCTTTTGAAATTTAAATTAAATTACTCTATGGATTTCTTACTGAATCAAAAGTCATTTTTACAAATTATCAAATTTTCTAATTCTCTCCAGCATAATGTATAGGAAGGTATGTCTGCATTGATAATAAAGTTTGAAACTTTAAAACATTTTCCTCTGGTTTCTTTTTTTCCCCTTTCTTTTCCTAATAGTCACCATAATAATATAAGGAATTATACATTTTCAGCCCAAACAGATATATTTATTTGAACTGCATATTTATTCGATTATATGCTATTTTAATTTTTTTACACCTTACTCTTAAATTTTGACTTTTTTGGAAACAGCGAAGATGAGAAAATGTTAAGAGTAATTTAATTGTAGTAGAGTTCATTTAATCTTTACAATAAAGTATATAAGTACCATTATTTCCAATTTACATCTAATTTTCAGAAACAGATACTAAGGTATTTCCTAAGACCACATGGCTGGAATGTGATAAGGGTAAGACTTGAACCCAGGGATTCTGATTTTAAAAATACTCAGTATATTGTTTTAAATTTCTTTTTAACAATTTCAAAATAACTGGCAGAACAAGTATTTGGAATGAGGTTGTCAAAATAAATAAAAATGTGCCTTTAGAGACATGTGTTGCCGAGGTGAATAGCATAGGAACCGTTGAGTCAATTTGCACAGTGATGAGTGTCCTTTTTTCTCTTTTTACTGTGGTGTCTAACTCTTGTCTCTGTTTTCCCATGCTCTTTGTTCCTGTCCTAGGACCGAGATCATGGTGTGCCATGTATGAAACACTCGTACTTTTTAAAGCATCACACACACACACACACACACACACACACACATACACACACACACACATACACTTTTATATTTCTCCTGAAGTCTTTCCATTCCCTAACCTCAGTTGTGAAAGGCCTAAGTGGCTGCCTCGTCTGGAATCTTGTCTTGTATATTTGCTGAGTTCACACTTGCTGCTTCTCCATCTGCTACAATTTTAGATCAGTAAAACCTTCTTGAAATATGTGGAAAATGTCAACCATACTCCCAAAAAAGTGCCATCTTCTTTCAAACTGATGATATCCTGAGATGACTGAGGTTTTTTTTTTTTTTTACCTAAAGATTAGCACTCATCTTTTTTTTTTTTTTTTTTCAGTGACCTAGAATTTCTTTAATTAAAGGATCAAGATAATTTGGTCATGGTTTAAAGAACAGAGAAATAGCATTTCAAAAGTAAATGTCATTCTACTTGATGGTAGACAATTGAAAGGTTATCTGCTATATTTATAAGATATTAATTGTACACCTGAATGAGCTAAGTTTTAATCATGTTGCCATATTTAAGCAGTGTACAAATGGGTTTCTTTTCATCTCAATCTTAATAAATCTGATAGAAACTACTTTATGTTTAGGAATAGCAACTAATAATTTGATTCAATAATTTAGGTGTTTATTCTGAGCAAGATTCTACCTGGAACTGTACTATGAGGGCCCACAATGTGTTCAATAAGGTACTTGCTAAAATTATGTTTGTGTGGGTATATGGGTCATTCTTCACTTAAATAGTCTTAGTTTTTGCTTAGAATTCTGATGTGGAATGTGTCTGTTTTATTGTACACTTATATGTAAATTTATTGTACTTAACCTACTTAAAATTACAAGTTTTTTTCTCACAAGAAATAAGAAAGAAGTGGTAGTAAGAGCAAAGACAGCAGCTCAGAGGAGCAGGCATTACTGAATCCTGAGGCTGCTGTGTAGCATTGTCGATATTTCTAAGAATATATGCTC